TTAATTCTATCCAGAGCCAGACAGCCCTTGCCAGCAGGCCTAAAACTCGCCATTACCCTACGTTTCCTGGCGACCGGGAACAGCTACCGATCCTTGGAGTTTCCCTTAAGGGTAGCCCACATGCAACACAATGTCACTGTTCTGAAGTACATGTATGCCGGGCTATCGTCTCGGCTGTTTTCCACTGCCCATCGGCATTCTGACACACAAGTATACGGTGTAACACACACAAGTACACGGTGTAACACACGCGTGTTGAAATGTGCGACGTAGTCTGAACAAGGAGTTTACATATGTCCCATATAACCCCATTTTTCTTACCACCTTATGCACTTATCAGCACATGTGACGTCATAATCTTAGGCAGGTGCCTGTTCGGCCGCCCGACGGCAGTGAGGTTACGGCGTCGCTTCGGCGTATTTCGCCGAACGGGGCCCGAAGTGTTTTTAACTCTGAGTTAAAATCGATTCGGCGACCGCGCGGGGCCAAAAATAGGCCGGCAGCCGTCGTGAAGCCCGCCGGTCTCCGTCCAGGTCCCGTTCGGTAGTGCCAAAAAACACGCCGAACACGCGCCGAGCGGGCCCCTTTCTTGAATTGTGACCTAAGCATTAAAGAATGAATGTCCTTTGTACTTACATTTTCTTCATTCCGTTTCCTCCATCATGTCCGCCATGGCGTCGTCCACGTCCCGTTTCTCCAGCTCCCTGGCCATCTCGCGGCGTTCAGCCTCGGCCAACAACGACTTCAGGGCCGTCACTTCCTCACGGTTAGACTTGGAAGCACGCTCTGAGGTAAAGAAAGTAAAACACGCTATTCAAAGAAGACCCTAGGAGTACAACTAAACAACCAGCCAGTGGGACCGATCGTGTGGCGTAACGAATGTTCTGGTCGTGTAGCGTAATGACCGTGCGTTCGGCTCAGAACCAAGAGGTCCCGAGTTCGAGTCCTGCCATGCCACCGACCTTGGGCCCTTGGAAAAGGCACTTTACACGAATTTCCTCACTTTACTCGGGTGAAAATGAGTATGTTTGTTGTCCATTCATGCATATTTTTGCGTTGGTGGTGGCTGCAGGTGACATAAATATATATATATGTTGGAAAAAAACTTGAGTGTGCCGTTGCCGTCACCATGTCTTGTAATAAATGTTGGAATAGAAAAAAAGCCAATTACACAACATTCTCTTGATCATGTCTTGTCCACCTAATGCAAATCAGATGCACAGACATTTTGAAAGATGTTTCTTTTCGCGTAGGCGATCGTACGATTCTGATGCTCTAGTCTGTGAAAGAACCAACCACTGACAAGGATCTAAAGGTATAGCGTGGCAGCGTTTTCTACGAGTACGAGCGGCTCGATTGCAACACATTCCAGGTTTTTTTCTAGAAAAATTTAGCATGAGGGAGCAGATCGCAAGCATGGCAAGGAACGAAAAGACTGTAACCATTTATGGAGCTAATAGTTCAAGTTTAACTTGAGTTATGACCGGACATGGTGTTTAAAATTAAATGTCTGAGGCTTTTCCGCAATATGCTGGTATTATTGTGTGTAAGTAGTCCATTACATTTACCTACTTTTTCATGTAGTACAACGTGCATGTGTTAGGAAATAGCTTTCTAGCCGGGTTGCCGGCTTTAGATATCCTTTGTTTTGAGAATTGGTATTTGCACAGTATTTTGCTGTCTATGTTTTGTGGGTGTTTCCATATTTATTGTTCCATTTCTAAAAAAAAAGCCGTCCGTAGCCACGAATACAATCTTATGGAGTTCAAGAGTTCAAGTACTCATCAATATTTATGACCGGACGTAGTGTTTAAACTTAAATGTCTGAAGCTTTTACGCATTATGCTGGTATCATTGACCTACTTTTATATGTAGTACAATGTCGCGTGTGGGGACGAGCTTTCTTTTTTGCTTCCGGGGGAGGATATATCCTTCCGCGGAAGGGTTTTGTGGGAGATAAAGATACAACCACAATGTTCCCCCCATTCATATACTTTCCTCTTGTAACAATGCTTTATTGTCTTTATATTATTTATATTATATATTATATTATATAATACCCTGTATTACTATTAGATTGATTTTGATACAGATCCTATGTAGTCAAACATATCGCATCTTTAGGCCACACCAATTTAATTTCTTAGTTAACGGATTCACCCGCTTCATTTTTTTTTTGATTTGCAAATAAAAATAACAATTCAGAATCACCTGCAAAATGCTCATATTTTGCCCTGAACAGTTGAAAACAGTCCTTTTCATCCTAGTTGTTACAGTTATTCCATCTTTCAATGCAATGGTATCATAAAAAGTTCAAAATTCATTGTTTAAATTTTGAACCAGCCTGGTGTGTTGACTTCATGGCTCCTAATATCGTACCATTTTGGGCCCTAATAGGATGCCTAGGCCTTTACTTTTTTTTTCGCCCGCCCGCTCCATTATTTTTCTAGAAAAATCCGTTAACTAAGAAATTAAATTGGT